TTCTTTTTTTCTATTTTTCAGATGAGTAGAAGTGCATAATCCACTGTATTGTATTCAAATGCTGCTATTAGTCTATTTTCTACCTCAATGCTTTGCTAGATTAAATGTGTACAGTATTTGTATTTGTAATTTACTGCTCATTATTATAGTATTTACTTCTACCTCAGTGCTTTGCTAGATTAAATGCGTGTTTGTAATAAGATGATTTTTAACAATGTATTTTAACATAGAGCAAACTAGTTACTAAGCTGAAACATGTAACCAAGTATTTACTGCTCATTATTGTAGTATTTACTGCTAATTATTTCATTTGGTCTCTTGCACAGCAGAGCCTCTCATTGCTATTCCTGAGGGGGAGGCTCAGGCCACAAATAGCTTCAGAGTCCTTTTTATTGGGCTTTAGTAGATCTTAGGACTACAAAGCTCATGTGCTTGTTCTCTCTGAACTAAAGTGGGTGCAGGAGAGATTCTTTTTAGAGAATCCAGGGGGAAGGAGCGTTGGTTCCCTTACCGTCCGTCGTGCAGGCGCTCACCCCGTGCGCCAGCGGACCCAAGTTTCCAGCGCCCAGCTTTCCAGCACCGGCCACCAAAGTCGCAACAGCCCGTGCAAGGCGGCTTCGAAGAGGGGATAGGACCGCCACGAGGCTGGGCTGAAGGTGTAGTGGAGACGCTGCTTCTTGCTTTCTTTCTGGAAGGGCCAGGGGGCCCAATTTGTGTGGAGGGGACGCTTTGGGTCCCCACTGGTGGGGAGCAGGGAGCCCAGAACCAATGTCAAATATAGGTACTTCATGCGGTCTCTTGCCATGGTCAGGCACCAGGCAAGAGGGGCCTCCAGCAAGTGCCAGTGGCCCCAAATGTGGAGGCAGGGAGGAGAGGACATTTTGGCTAGGCTTCGCGGATGTCACAATCGGGGCTGGTCGCTAAGAGACACACCTTGGCTAGGGTGGGCGGGCTGGGGGGCAACAGCTGCCTAGTTTGTTTGTTTGTTTATTAGATTTTTATCCCGCCCTTCTAGACCTACGTCTGCTCAGGGCAGCTCACAATAAAATGATCCATCAAAACCACGATTTACATTGACCATATAATTAGTTTAATCAAGGTGGAAGACAGGAAGCAAAATTTGAAATGGAAAGTCAACATCAAGGACACATTGGCAGGAGGGGAAGGCCTGCCGCTTGGGTTCAGGCGGGCCAGCCTCTCGCTTGCGGAAAGGCCACAGGGCTCCCTCCCTTCCAGAAGTAAGCGTGCACGCGTGGGGAACTCTCCCGGGGTGGGGAGGGGGGCGCCTCCTCCTGCTGAATGGCAAAGAACAACGACCCCGAGGTGTAGTGGAGCACTGTCATCATATTTTGGTTTTTGTTTAATTTCGTTTTTTCCGAAGGCAGGGTTGTGGGGAGAAACGACAAGAATTTAAAACAACAACAACAGTGGAGAACACTTATTGGCCTTAAAAGAGAAAATTGCTTTGTGTTTCCTTTTTAACCATTTAGAATGAAAGCATTCTGGGACTACCATTGTATTGTGACACTATCAACAACAGTTGAGAACACTTATTGGCCTTAAAAGAGAAAAAAATAAAGGACCGAGTGGGGAAAAATAATAATAATAAAAAAGAAACTTAAGTTTGAGAAAGGAAATATGCAAACTCTGTAGGTCACATGGTGACTCTGGACTTTTCTAATTCCAAATAAAAAGTGTGAAAAAAAAGAGAGAGAAAAGAACTGCCATTTTGGACTTTCAGTATGATAAAAGATAAGTGTTTATCCACCTTTTTTCAGAGGACAAGAGGATGGGGAGGTGACCACCATAGATAGTTTCTTCTGGATTCAAGCATACTGCACTATAACAGGCCACCCCCCACCCCCAGCATTGAAATCACAGCTGCCATTCACACAGAAATGTTGTATTGTCCCAGGGGAGGTGCATTTCATTTGTACACAAGTCGTGCAGTTCCCCCTTTTCTCCTTTGCTGTTTTCACCACCCTCTTACCCACTCCTTTCATCAGTGTTCAGATCCCTTCTTTTTAAAATAGTTAGCCACCGAATTAACATTGAACTGACAAGACGTGATAAGCATTTGAATTAGCGCCCTAGCTCTAAACTAGAAAGTTTTTTTAAAAAAAGTTTACAAATTGCACTGCAGTTGTTGTCCCAACTAATGGGAGCAGAAGGCAGGCCAAAGGGTTTATTTCAACAATGTGCCCCGCTGTGCGCATCATTCATGATCTCATCTAGACCTATCCAGTGACAGCCCTGAAAGACTGAGAACGGGCTATCACGCAAGCCAGAAATATAAAATAAGGTGGGTAGGAATGCTTCCAAAAACACAGGCCACACTGGCTAAATGAAATGAAACTGCATATTCATGCCAGAAGGTCAGATCTACTTGGGATTAGCAGTGATGTGTGATGAATGGAGTAAATATTGGAAGGAACAGTGAGAGAAACAGCACAACATTTGATGTAGTCCTTGTGTGGATTTAAAGTGCGTTGGGAATCCAACCCTGGTGCCGCTGCCATGGATGTTCTGTAGCATATGGAAAGTGGTAACCAAAGGGGGGAGGACTCGGGGACCCGTTTGCAAACCTACTTCAGGGTAATTTGCAGCCTTGGGGTGTAGAAAGGCCAAGCCATGCTGCAAGAAGGCTGTTGAGACCGTAGCATCAAGAGGACTCGCATCAAACTCGCAGATGTATACAACCAATTTTTGGGATTCTTGGCTACCTTTTTTCTGCACTATCCGTGGAAAGGGGGTGCTCAGCCTGAAGAAGTGGATTTTTCTCCAACGAAAGCTTGCCATTTGTTTTCTTAGTGATCCTATAAAAGGCATCACCCACTCTTCCAAGTTGAACAAACTTCAGGTGATGATTCACTTGCAAAGTCATCACTTTGCCGGCCAACTCTTTGTGGCAAGACTTATGAGTTTTATTTATCGTGAGTGGGAGCCCAGAGTATCTGATGCACCAGCAGAAGTGGGTTACTTGACACGCAAGGCTGCTCTGCAGGAAACATCATTCAAGATGCCACAATGGTGTCTTTTATCTGTTTAGTGAAGGTTTTATCATTGAAAGTACCGAAACTGCACAAATGGGATTAAAATAATAGGCAACATAAGGGTGGGCTAAATTCTAAGACATACCCTTTCCATCAGGCCAAAAGAAGCTCAGAAATGCTAAATTAAGGATAAAACGGGAAATAGCTAGAGGTCTCCTGATTTTGGCTTTGTGTGTGTGGATTATCTGGCTTTTTGGAGACATACCCTATGCAAAAACTGATTCCTGTACCTAGTGATCCTTTGGAGTAGAAAAATACACTTTTCATATTCAGTAAGTATTTATTTAGGGCTATGGGTGGCATTGATGCAAGAATTTATGCTTTTGAAGTGTAGTGCTGGAGGAGACTCTTGAGAGTCCCCTGGACTGCATGGAGAACAAACCGATCCATTCTGAAGGAAATCAACCCTGAGTGCTCACTGGAAGGACAGATCCTGAAGCTGAGGCTCCAAGACTTTGGCCATCTCATGAGAAGATAAGACTCCCTGGAAAAGACCCTGATGTTAGGAAAGTGTGAAGGCAGGAGGAGAAGGGGACGACAGAGGATGAGATGGTTGGACAGTGTCATTGAAGTGACCAACATGAATTTGACACAACTCCGGGAGGCAGTGGAAGACAGGAGGGCCTGGTGTGCTATGGTCCATGGGGTCACGAAGAGTCAGACATGACCTAACGACTAAGCACAAACAACAATGGGTGGCATTGATGAGGAAAGAACCTCAAATGGTTAGGCTTTGCAGTCCTTGGGTTGGGATTGAAATCCTCTCTGACATCATCCTGCTAATTAGTGTCTGACGCTCTGGATAGTTTTTTGTCATGCATCGAAAGCAGTCTGTTCCCTTTTTTCTTCAGTGAATTCGAAGTGGCCGATGTGGCTCTCTTCCTTACATCATCTCTGCGAGGTGGGCCAGGCTGAGGCAGAAGGAGTAGGCCAAAGCTATCCAGCGAGGATTTCAACCTGAGTCTCCTGGATAGTCTAGGGCTGCCCTATATTCAGATCAAAGGAGTTTCCTCTGTGCCTAGCTTTGTTCTGGTAAAAGCAGGTTTATTCACTTGGTGAAGAGACATCTCATCCAGGTTTCTGCCAACAGCATCCTAAATAGGTTGGAAAAGTCTTGTTAGTTACTCTCCAAATACTGATACATTTACCAGGGGGTAAATGCCCCTTTCTCAACGGCACTTATCAGGAAACTTGAGGCCTGTGTACAAAAAATAAAAAATAAATCTTAAATAGGAAGCATCTGAATAGCCAGAAAGATATCCATGTTGTCTGGGTGGCAGAAATGTGTAAGATCCTCAAGCCATTGAATAATAGGCAGGTATTTATCTTTTCCCAGTGGCAGTCTTATTTAGTTATTTAAATTATTTTTACCCTCCAAACGACCCAAGGTGGCTTCAATAATTAAGAAGACAATATTTAAATGCTACAAAGAGTAAGTACACAACTATTTAAAAAAGAATTAAACAAGGATGATATTAAAAATGGTAATTAAAATAGTAAATGCACATTTAAAAGCAACAGCACCACCCAAAAAAAAAAAACCTCTCAGTCTTAGGATTTTTTTTTCCAGTCTCTTTAAGGGGATGTAAAGTCCATTTTATTAAAAACAAAGCCCTGTACATGAGTAACCTCCAGAAACTCCCAATTAGTCCACGCTTTAGCAGACTCCAGGCTGTGGCTTCCTTTAATGAGTCAATCCGTCTCTCCTCCTGCTCTCCTCTTTTCCCAGCAGTCAAAGCAGAGCCTTTAAAAGCCGTCCTCCCCGCTTCTCATTCATTCATCCCTGCCTACCTTATCAATGATCACGCGAGGAGAGGAAGCCACGCCCCTTTTGCTCGCGTCCGGAAGCGCGGCGCCTCGCGTCCTTTCTTCCCATTGGCCGGCTCTCTGGGAGGAGGGGGGAAAGGGGGCGTGGCGATTGGTGGCTAGCCGTTGGACAGCCGAGCCGGTTGGGGGCGTGGTCAGCCGGCTCGTGCCGGAGGCGCCTCTGTCCGGCTTCCACACCTGGCCGGTTCAGGCGGAGGGCGAGCATCCTTCCGTGGGACCGATCCCTTGACGCAGCGGACACGTGAGAATGCGGGAAGACCTTCTTCTCTTCTGACAGATCCTTTCCTCCCCCACACCCGCCAGGGCCGCCTTCTGCAGTTTCCATTGTTAAGCCGGTTCCCTTCCCCTTACACCACTTTTTAAAATATTATTATTTTGCACGTTTCAAAGGCTTTTGCAAATCCTGATTTCCATGGGTGAGAAGAGAGGATTTATTTTTTAAAAAAACACGGGGATTTTTTCTTTCTCATTCCATCGTGCACCTGTCTGATGTCCTTTTTTTTGCATCCTAGCAGGTTCCCTTACCTGGATCACCCGACCCAAAAATCCTATAATAGGTTGTGGCTGTTAGCTCCCATACCACGAAGTGGGGCTTCTTCCTAGTGCCTTCTTCTATTTTCCCACCCCTGGCTTGCAAAAAAAAATTAAAAATTTATTTTTTTTAAAAAAAAAGCATATCTGGCACCGACACCTCATTTTGCCTCACCTGACATCCTATATACATTTGTTCTTTACTTGTTCCCACTCTGTCCCCCAGGCAGCTTGAATCCTCCTTGCTGATAAACGTGTGGTTGCTCTTCCCTTTATCTCTGGATCTTCTTTGGATTTGATTCACTAAGAGCCTCCTTGATGTTATTTTGGATTTTCTAAGCAATCACTGAATTTTTTATTTCATGTGGATACCTATCTCAGGTGTACTCTCTTTAATTCCAGGAAACGATTACTAAATTCATATTTATTTATTTGTTCATCTGTTCATCCATCCATTCATTTATTCTGCAACCGCTGTTGACCGTTCATACTGCTATTTTCCATCCCCGAATTACATCCACTATCCGGACGCTGGTCTGCAAGATTTTCCTTCTGATACTGCTGTCCTAGCTTCCCACAACACCCCCACACCTGGCTGACTATGGACTTTATTCTCAGTGGGGTGGCGGCGTGTGGGGCCTGCCTTTTTACCAACCCTCTGGAAGTGGTGAAAACTCGGATGCAGCTCCAAGGAGAACTTCGCCAGCCTGGGACCTACACCCGCCACTACCGCAACGTCTTCCACGCTTTCTACACCATTGGACGGGTGGACGGGCTGGCAGCCCTCCAGCGAGGACTTTTGCCGGCTTTGTTTTACCAGTTTGGCTTCAACGGCCTTCGCCTGGGCCTTTATGGGATGGTGGAGACGGCTGGCTACATTCGCGTGCCCGAGGGGCACATCAGCCCGTGGCGCACCATTGTGGCCGGAGCGATGGCTGGGGCTGTGGCCGCCCTCGCAAGCAGCCCCATCTATCTGGTGGGTCCCACGACTGGATTCAGATCGCCTGGGATCCCAAAGCAGGATTGGGTTTAACAGGATCCATAGCATCACTGATGAAAAATATTTGTTTGTTTTTTTTAATTATGGGAAAAATTGAAATATAGTTGTTTGGGTTCTGTTTTCCTTCGTTTGTGCTTGGATACTAAGCATGTTCTAAATGCAACTGTCTGAGATGCTAAGTTGGAGTGTAGACCCATGGTGGGCCTGACCCCTGGATTGCTAGAACGCGAAGAGGAGGGACCGGACTAGCATCACCTCTGTGTGAAACATAGCTGGGGTGAGGACTCTCTCTCTCATGCCAAATCTAGTTCTTCCTCCTTCCCAGTTTTTTAAAACTCACCCCTTTCTTTGTGTTCTAAAAGGGTGGAAATGCTGCTCTCAGGACTTAGTGCTAATAAAAGCTGTCCGCTCTGCTGAGGTTGTGGTGGTTTCCATTCCGCAGAATGGAACGTGGCCCCTGAGAAATTGAATCTGGCCATCAGGAAGGAGGGGTTTTTAAAGTCTTGCAACGCAGGACAGATGGATTGTTATTTATTTTATTAGTTGGGCGTACATCCTACTTCTCTGCAGGATGTGCAAGGTGGTGCATGTCGTTCTATTCCCTCAACTTTGTGGTGGTAAGAATTGATTTTCCAGCATATGCGGTCTGGCATGCTTTAGAACTGGAAGTGTCCAGTGAACCGTGAGTTGGTTTTTGTGCATCTCACTCTACTTCATGTGGGGTTTCCTCTCCTTATCCAGTTTTTCTGAAAGAGCTGTCTAATTGCTTTTATGAACAGGTGAGTTTCCTTGCTGGATCGATGGTTTAACTCTTCCTTTTAAAAATAATAATAATGATGATGATGTGCCGTCAAGTCAATTCCGATTTATGGCAACCTTTTTCAACTGACGAGCCAGAGGTTGGTGTTTTTATGAACAGTTTAGTTTCCTTGCTGGATCTATGGTTTAACTCTTCCTTTTAAAAATAATAATAATGATGATGATGTGCCGTCAAGTCAATTCCGATTTATGGCAACCTTTTTCAACTGGCGGAATAGATCAGTGGTTGGAGCCAGAGGTTGAGTGTTCGATTTCCCCACTGTGCCTCCAGGGAAAAGATCCAGCCTGTGTAACTTTTGGCAAGCTGCACAGTATCAGAGTGTACTGTGCCTCCAGGGAAAAGATCCAGCCTGGCAGGGTAAACCACTTCTGAGTATTTCACCATAAGTTGTAATATATTTGATGGCAAGCACATTATTAGAAGGGAAGGGTAAACCACTTCTGAGTATTTCACCACAAGTGAGAATACATTTGATAGCAAGCACTTGTTATTATTATTTAAAGGTAAAGTATCCTGCCTTTCATCAAATTGAAAGTTTGTTGGTGCTTTTGCTTGGAAAAGTTCTGTTCTGGACTACAAATTCCAGAATCCCCGAGATCCCTAGCCATGCAGGTTGGGGATAGGGAAGGGTAAACCACTTCTGAGTATTTCACCACAAGTGAGAATACATTTGATAGCAAGCACTTGTTATTATTATTTAAAGGTAAAGTATCCTGCCTTTCATCAAATTGAAAGTTTGTTGGTGCTTTTGCTTGGAAAAGTTCTGTTCTGGACTACAAATTCCAGAATCCCCGAGATCCCTAGCCATGCAGGTTGGGGATTCTTGGTGAGGTGTTTTTGTTGTTGTTGGTTGGTTGTTTTTTTTTAAAGGAATGTTTCAGAGTTCTACACAGTAGATCTCCTGGCTAAAAAAGACTTGCTCTTTCCAAATACTCCATTTTCTTTTTCTTGAGATAACTTTGAGATAACTCTTGAGAGGTCACATCATCTTATCCTGAAAGTTTCCTGTCACGTTGGAGTCAGTGAGATGATTCTGTGATTTTAGGTGTTCCCCTCATTCCAAAAGCAGTGGGGGAAATCCAAATACCCTGTTTCCCTGAAAATAAGACCTAATATGAAAATAGACCCTGGTATGATTTTTCAGGATGTTTGTAATATAAGCCCTACCCAAAAATAAGCCCCAGTTAAGTGAAGCCCCACCCTCCACCCTTGTGCAGCAACCAGAAGATGATGACGTGACTGTATTTGAATAGACGTAGATTGTTGTACATTAAAAAAAACCATCCCCTGATACGGTTTTGGAGCAAAAATTAATATAAGACCCTGTCTTATTTTTGGGAAAACATTGTAATGACCTCATTCCATGACACTTATCAAGGTAATAATAAATGAGCAATGCTTTGTTTTTCAGTATTAGCTGTAGAGATATGTGGATTTGTGTTATTGGAGTTCATGCAACTCCCAGGATTTCCCAAGGAACATGGGAGTTATAGTCTAGAAGCAGAAATCTGCAGGTCTCGGGTAGCCAAAATCTGCTTGTTTAAGGTAGCAGCCTTACTCTGCCTGACTGTGAAAATGGTTGTTTGGAAGATCGTGCCTGCTGGCCTTCCACGGTTTATTGTGTTTTCCCATTTATACAATTAGCTCGGTCTGTTTCCTCATAAAAACTAACAGGAAGTGTAAATGGGCAGCCTTTGGGAAGCCGAATTTAAACTCTTTCCATTCAGGTCTGATCATCAGAACTCTTTTTGAAAACCAAGACATAATTTAAAAAAAAAATCAGTATCAACATTGATCTGTAGTGTTAAATGATGGTCCTCGTAGTTTGGTTTTTTAAAAAAATGTTTTTATTGATGTAGCTGTCGCACTGCTTAAATAATATAAATCATGGTCCATCCATTCCTGCATCTTCTCCCACATGTTGCAATGGGCCAGTGCGTAACTGCCCAGAGTAGACCTTTGGTCTAGATGGGCGGGATAGAAATCCAATAAATAAATAAATAATTTATGGTGTTTATTTGATGGAGCCAGGCATCTCCATTTCCTGTATCATGGGCAAGCTGTAGCCATGAGGCTTATATTAGAGCTGTACCTGAGAATGTTTAGCATATGCTTTGGGAGATGCTGGCCCAGTGGAAGGAAGGATACAGGCATCCTTTTTTTCAAATCGATAGTCCCATATGATTTCCCATGCCATCCTGATAGGATTATTCTCTTCCACACAGGTGAAGACCCACATTCAGGCTCAATCTGCTGCTGAGATTGCTGTAGGGCATCAGTACAAACACCAGGTATGTGACGTTCACTCTGCATTTTACAGCGAGGAATCAGCATTACACCAATTCACAATTCAGCTACCTTCGATCAGGGCTTTTTTTTCTCCAGAGGTGGGAATCACATGGCAGTTCCTAGCTTTTTTGTGGCCACTCTTCTGCCGAATGATGCGTTATATGTAGAGCTGGCGACCTGGAACTTGCAAGTGCTTCCACTAAAACTGGCTTTTACATGTGGGTGCTTTCTGAGTTTTTTTCCCTTCCTCAAAGGCAGAAGTGAACCTGTTTTTTTTGGGGGGGGGACTGGGGGTGCAATTCTTCTTGTAGTTGTGGATGTGTTAGTTTTTTAGTATGTGTTAGTCTGTGCAAGTGTGATAGATGAAAACAAAATAAAAAAAGTTTTTAAAAAGACAGCACCTTAAATGCTAACTTTTATATTTTTTAATGTGAGCTTTTGTTAACAAGTCCACTTCATCAGACAAAAGGGGAAGATATAACGTGGCAAATATTTATACATGAAATAGGGTATAGATATCAAAATCTAGAGATCATGGTTGGTTGGTGAGAAAGTCAGTGGGTGTTAAACATTGTGATGACAGTGTATTTGATATGCAGATCAAGCATGTATTTTGATATCTTTGATACCATGCATAAATATTTGCCATATTATATCTCCTTCTCGCTTATGTCTGATGAAGTGAACTTGTCCATGAAAGCTAACATTATAAAATCTAAGTTGGTCTTTAAAGTTAGTCTTTAAACTATACACCATTATCTTCTTTTAATAAATAAATAAATATTTAATTTACAGTAAATTTAAAATCAACCTACATCTTTTTTAAAAAAAAAAAAGGATTAAAATCTATAAAATTGAGGAACACACTATGCCTCTTAATGCCTTGATATATCTTAGGTGTGGGTGGTTCTGTTTTTTCTGTTCCCAGGGGATGTTCGATGCTCTGTTGATGATCCACAAGGAACATGGTGTGATGGGACTCTGGCGTGGGGCTCTTTCCTCCATTCCCCGAGTCATGGTGGGCTCTTCTACCCAGTTGGCCACTTTCTCCTCCGCCAAGGATGTCTTGGCCCGCCTAGAGGTAAGCTGGAGACAGATTAACAGATTTGTCCAGAAAGATGGCTATCGTGTATGGTTAAGAAAGCTGACAGGAGGAAAAAAATGGATTCCTTGGTCATGTGGTGCTGGAGGAGAGCTTTGTGGCTACCTTGGACAGAGAGACAAGCCAGTGGGTCCTTGATCAAATCTAGCCTGAACTGTCCCTGGAAGCAGATAGGATGAAACTGAAATGATCTTTCTTTGGGCACATCCTGAGAAGGCAGGATTCTCTGGAAAAGACCATAACGCTGGGAAAGGGGGAAGGCAGTAGGAAAAGAGGAAGACCAAATAGGAGATTGACGGACTCCCTAAAGAAAACCATGAGCACGAGTCTATAAGAGCTGAGCAGGGCTGTTGAGGACAGGATGTTTCGGAGATCACTCGTTTTTGTTGTGTATTGGGGTAGCGGGAGACTTAGATTTGCTCATCTATCTCTGTACGAGAGCTCTGGAAAAGTTACTTTTAAAATTACAGTTCTGCAGCTGATTTTCAAGCAGAACGTCCATTGATCATAAAGTTGAAGGGACATATTTTGAAAGGAATAGTTTCTAAGTGCGTGGATGTGAACCTTCCATGGAGATACATGACTGTTGCATTCAATGAATGAAAGCAAGGCAGAATAAGGACCCACATCACATGCTGGAATTCTTTCTGGGAAAACTTATTGATCCCACCTGACATATTCAGATTTGGTAGTGTTCCTTTTTTGGACTTACTGACATTTTTTTAAATTTGAACTCCCAGATTTATGTAGGTATGCTGGCTTAGAGGATTCTGGGAGATGTGGTCCAAAAAAGCAACTCTTCCAAGTTGATCAGGTGCTAGTCAAACACTTCTTTTTAATCCTAAAGGGGCTAGGAAGTTTAAAGTGAAAACGTTTGTCTCTTGGGAATCCTGGATTTCTCTGCGTTCTTTGTATTCCTGTGCCAATGGATGGCATATGCAGGATTGAAGCTCGACTCGTTTTTGCTACTCTTCAAGGGACGGCTGTTGACTCCTTTGTGCTCCTTAACCCCACTCTCCTCTACCATCTCTCCCAGGTCTTTCCAAAGGACAGCTGGCAGGTATCCCTGAGCGCCTGCATGATCAGTAGCACCACCGTGGCCCTCACCATGTCACCTTTCGATGTGGCCAGCACTCGCCTCTACAACCAGCCAGTCAGTCCTGAAGGGCAGGTAAGCACAGAGAGTGGATTTAGAGAGAGGCCACTGGTGTTACTATGTTGGGAGGAGCTGGGTGGACAATGTTTATTCATTCTTAAATTTCAAGAGAAGCTCCTAATTTTCAAGTTGGGGGCAAGAATCATAGAATAATGAAGTTGGAAGGGGCCCATAAGGCCATCAAGTCCAACCCCCTGCTCAATGCAGGGATGTGTATCAAAGGATATCTGCCAGGTGATTGTCTAAATTTCTCTTGAATGCCTCCAGTGCTGGAACACTCACTACCTCTCAAGGTAATTGGTTCCACTGTCATACTACTCTAACAGGAAGTTTTTCGCTAATATTTAACTGAAATCTGGCTTCCTGTAATTTGAACCCATTGTTGCGTGTCCTGCACTCAGGGATGATCAAGAACAGATCTTGCTCCTCCTCTGTATGAAAGCCTTTCAAATATTTGAAAAGTGCTATCAGCCTCAGCCTTCTTTTCTCAAGATTAAACATGCCCAGTTCTTTCAGCCTTTCCAGCCCCCTGATCATCCTTGTCGCCCTCCTCTGAACTTGTTCTAGTTTGTTGGCATCCTTCTTGATGTGCGGTGTCCAGAACTGGACACAGTAATCACAAATGTTGTCTAATACCTCATAGGTTTTGGAAACTATCCTTCTGTTAATGCAGCCTACAATAGCATTTGCCTTTTTTTGTAGCCACATCACACTGTTGGCTCATATTCAGCTTGTGATCGACGACGATTCCAAGATCATTCTCGCTATACAATGTTATAAACTATAACTCCAACTGCAACTGTGTCCCTTTGTAGGAAAACATAAAAATCACATGATGGGGGGGGGGAAGATCACCTTCCAGTAAGTTTTGGTTAGTGAAAACAACTTGATTCTTCTCTTTTCCTCATGCAGGGCCTGATTTACAAGGGTCTTCTGGATTGCCTTGCCAAAATCATCCGCTCCGAGGGATTTTGGGGGGTCTACAAAGGGTTGGGGGCTTCCTACTTCCGAATCGGACCCCACAC